ATTAGCGCTTAAATCCTGGTAATGCAATGCATTCAAGGGAGACAGAAAAGCACCGTTTAATTAACCATATCTCCAGAGAATCAAAAGGGCCAGGGAATTTTGCTAAAATCGTGGGTCCCGCCCACGTTATCTCTATTGTTTTCTTCTTCATGCTCTCCCTCTCCCTTTTCACTCAATTATCCCACACTTTTGCTCATGGCCATGTCTTACTGTGTCGGTTGTTTTTTTCAAATTTATATTTAATATTAAAACATTAAAGTAATTTAAAAATATTAAAAAATCTCAACTTCTTTTAAAAATATCTTTTTTTTAAATAATAATAGGATATTTAGAAGAAGGGTGATAGTTGTTGTAGTTGAAATTATATTTTATTTAAAAATATATTAAAATAATATATTTTTTTATTTTTTTTCAAGATTAATATATCAAAATTACATAAAAATATTTTTAAAAATATCTTTCAATACAAAATTAAATTAAAAAAATAATTTTAGTACTCGAATTATCTTTCAAGAAAACACATCATTACCCGTTTCTGCTGCCAATACTTTACGTGGTATAGTTTTGGCATCATCACCATGTCACCTTTTTCTTAATCTAATGCCCTTATTTAAGGTTAGGTTTGGATTTGAAAGTCACCTTTGAGGCTCCTACCAATGTTATCATGACAGGCCTCCAATGGCGAGCTAAAGTTGATGGAGAATCACACAAAGATTGTCCCAAGAAGATGACAAGAATTAACTACATCATCACTCAGCTGCGTTACCAAGAATCGTCTGCCTTTATTTTTACCCCTCCTAAAGATCAACAAAAGGCATCCATGGGCAATCAATTTGTGTCCACCTAAAGCAATGGGGCATGATTGAATTTGAAACAATCAGGCGATCATGTGGGTGCAGGAATTGGATAATTAACGAATGTGAACGTTTGTCTCTTTGTTAATCATCAATTAAGCAGGAATTAACATCCTAATCTTACACCTGGCCAATAAAATGCACCAAAGATCACCTAATTCTTGTGGTTTTCAGTGTTTCCTTGTTTCGGTTTTCTTATCTCCCTTGTTCCCAAGAAAACAAAATCATGATTCTTCATCCCTCTTTCTATCCATGGCCGACGTAATGGCTAGAGGGAGTATTTGAGAATGTCATAAATCACCTAGCAGCCTGTTTTTGCTCTTAGAATGCAAGAACAAACAAGAACCAAGTGCCAAAGAACACAGCTCTGCAGCTTGCAGGCATGTTTACTATAAATCTTGGTTACTGGTGCATAAATATAAGGAACAATGTCAGTGCTTAAATTCATGTGAGATTCTATTGTCAACGCGAGGAACTAGAGAGGGATTATATGTATAATAAAATACTCAGCAGTACTGAACACCTCAAAATTTCTGCAGAGGGCACGATTTGCTAAAATCCACGCACCCTCCAAGTGCACAATAAATTGCAGAGTGATGCCCAAGAGACGGTTAGAATCTAATAGAATGGGAGATGTAGAAGTGAGAGAGAATTAGCTATCAAGTAATTAATTTAAAAAAAAACACTAAGTGAAGTTGATATTTTATTATTTAATATTAAATTAAATAAAAATTAAGTTTAGATTTAAGATTTTATAGGCAGTGATTATGATAGATTATTCTAAATTTAGAAGATCTATTTAAGTTTTTTTTTTTAAAATAAATGTTTTTTTGAGTTTTATTTTTTAATATTTATTAAATTGAAAATCGGGCTCTATTATTTTTTTCCTCGCTTGCTTTTTATATGTTTTTAATTAATTTTAAAAATAATTTAAATTATCTCATATTTTATTTATTTATTTATTTTGTTAAATTTAAGTTTTTAAAATTATCTCATATTTTATTTATTTATTTTTTTTGTTAAATTTAAGTTTTTAAATAAAAATTATTTTTAAATTAAATTAAATAAATTAATTAAATATAAAAATAAAACACTAATTTAATTTGATTTATGAGTCATTGTTATGATCAATGACATTAAATGTATCTTAATGACATTAAATATATCTTAGTGGTGGGTGGTGCTCATGATATATCAATAAATTTTTTTATTGTCAAGTATTTTATTGAAATTTTGTTTTTTTATAATTGAATATTGTTAATTTTTTTTATTAGAAATATTTTTTAATTATATTATTAAATTAACTTATTGAATTCTGTTGATAAATCAAATATCAAATTATTTTATTTCTCTGAAAATATCGCCATTGTCTAGATCTTTTCATTTTTACGGTAGGAAAGATTTGATCTAGCCATAACATGACACAAACAACCTAACTAGCGTCTGACTAAAGTAAGCTTTTATGTCATCAGTCCAATCATTAATTTTTTCAAGACATAATATATACGTGTACAATTAACTCTATTCACAAAAATTACTTTAAATTTTAAACTCATCATCGAATCAAATGTAATTTTAGACTCTATTAATCACAAGTAATATTTTATTATTCATTTTATTTACTATTAATGCATCTTTTTAATGATATTATTAAATTAAATAAATTTATTGAGCCATCAATAAATCGAATCTTCAATTATTTTATTTTTTAAAAAATATTAACATTGTTTAAACATTTTTTTATGATATAAAATATTTACCCTTAACATGAAATTGAAAGTCAATTTTAAAAAAAATTAATTAAAAAAATTGAATTCTGTAAAATTTTTAATTTGAAAATTAAAATAAATTTATAAAAAATAAATTTTAAAAATACTATAAAGTATAATATTAAAAAATTATTTAAAAAAAATATATATTATAATAATAATGCTAGTCGGTGAAGAGCATCCATGATTCAAACAGGAATCTTGCGGCCCCCCCTCCATCCAGCTCTCAAGGCTTTTATTCAAGTTGCTCTTCTTGCTTCTTTCTTAATTTTCATCCCAAACATCTTTTACATGTTTTCTGAAGACTGGATCATGTATCTAATAATAATGAGATGAAATAAGAATAAGAGCACAAGAATCCTGCTGAGAATTTTTTTTATTCAAGAAAATTCATATTCTAAAAAATACATTTTACAAGTTTGGATAAAGAAGTAAAATTCCGACTGATCAAGTTTTTACAATAAATATATATCCCAACTCAAATTCAAAATCTATTATATAAATTCAAAATCTTTTACCATCCCGTTGTATTTTTTCGGAGACCCTGCCAAGAATTCGCAATCAAATTTAACAATTTTACCGACGTTAGATTCCGTCGGTGTTCAGTAAACAGAGTTTAACAGTGGATTATGTCCTTAGCAATGAAGGTGGACATGAAGTCCTTGACCCTCTCCTCTTGAAGAGCAAGCCAAAACGAAACTCATTGCCTCCAGGGGTGCCGGAAACAAGTGAAAATGTTGAAAGAGTCTTGTGTATTAATATGCAATTAAGCACTAACTCCAGCACCAAGTCTGCAGACAACACAAATCATGCAGATGATCGTAACAAAATCAAATCTCCTGGAAGTAATCTTCAAGTAGAAGACAATATCCACACCTTTAGTTCATCTGGTGTAACTGTAGTTTTCCTTGTCATTTCTTTCTACGACTACTCTTCCTAAAATCCTACTTACATGAATCGGCCACCTGGTTTCTTTCACCATCAATTTCCTGATCATGTTTTTCACTCACGCAAGGCATCAAACAAGCTCCATGCGCATGGTTTCTTAGATCAAGACCCAGACTAATTCTCTCCCTTTAACTTTATCAGCTCAGAGAATGATTCCTTTCTACTCATTCTTAAATTCGCTTACATAATTCTCTTTTGTCTTGATCTATATGGATGATATTCTAGTCACTACTGGCCTACATAATGAGGATATTCACAATCTTATCCACCAGCTTCATACAGGATTTGCTTCCAAGGACCTTGGTAGTTAAGTTTCTTAATGGGCATTGAGCCGTCTCCCTCCTCTCATGACATCATTCTATATCAGCACCGTTACATTACTGACCTTCTTCACAAAAACAACATGCTTGCTGCCAAATCAGTCTCATCATCCATGGCCTCCACCGTCAAATTATCATCATTTATGGTTGCACCATTTCTGATCCAACCTTGTATCGCAACACAACTAGTTCTCCCCAATACCTCTCATTTACTCGTTCATGTCAATTCATGTATTCTCCATCTACTGATCATTGAAGCGTTGTTGATGGAATATTACAGTTTCCATGGCTTCTATTTACCGTATTGTCCAAAAGGTCCCCAGCCTCCTCCAATAATTCTACGTTAGGTGGAGGACACCTAGACAGCACCCATAGTACTCTAACTTTTAGAGGCCATTCTCGTCTTTAGACAACAACGTGTGTCCCTTATCAAAAACTTTAGACTTCCTATCCATTACTGTTAAAATCATTCTTGATAATTATGTTTATTTTTTAAAAATTATTTTTAAAATTAACGTATTAAAATAATTTAAAATATAAAAAAATTAATTTTTAATAAAAAATTAAATTTTTTAAAAATACAGTGCAAAACATGACATAGCAATCATGTATAACTTTGTTTATTTTTATTTTTAAGTGTTTTTCAAATTGTTTTTTTAACAAATTATTAAATTTATTTTTTAGGTTTTTTATGATTTTAGTATATTTATATAAAAAATTAAAGTTAAAATATTATTTTAATATATTTTAAATTTTATAAAAATACTCTACATCACCTTACTAAATAGACACTAATAATAACCATATATAGTTACTAACATAAAAAAACAATGCAATTCTCATTAATTTTTTTAATTAATTCCTTAATTGATTATTAAATTATCAAACCCAACCCATATCAACAGTTGATTGGGTTAGAATTAATTTAAATATTATTATTTTAAATTAAATTGGCTGAATTTTTAAATTGGCCAGTCAGGTCGTGTAGATTTCACAGAATGAACTCCTATTACTTCTTTTTAAAACATGTTAGCGAAGTGATGAATGAGTAATACAGCATTAAATAAAGTTAACTGGCTAGAGTGAAGCTCCTTCGGCTTCTAAAAATAAATAAACGATAAGAGAGAGAGAGAGAGAGATTGTCGTCATGTTGTGTTAGTTACACACTGCTGTTTCACACCATCCACACTGTTTTTGATGGATATTACTTTCCACTTTATAATCAAATAAAAAAAGGCGTACGGGTGTTTTCCTCCCTTTCATCTTTTAAGAGAAGAACACCTTTTTTCTACTGTGGAAGGGTGTGGGGTACGTGATTAGTAATTTTACTTTAGATTCTTGATTTTTGATTTCGAAGACAGGGGAATAGCCATTGTTGAAAAAGGCACTTTTCTTCTTCACCTTTGTCACCTTTGTGTTTTCTTTTCTTATTATATACTTGGTGGGTTAAGTAACTAGTAAGAGTTGAGTCACTCAGCACTGGTTCTTGCCGCTGCTCGCATTATTGAGTTGAGTACTGTTTATGCTTCTCTGTGATATTTTGGATCTGGGTTCTTCTTCTACTTTCTCACTTATCTTTGGTTGCAGTTTTTCTTTCTGTTTAAAGAGAAAGAAGGAAAGAAAGGAGTGATGGCTGGAGGAGGAAAGGCTGAGGAGCCACAACCACATCCACCAAGGGAGCAGCTTCCTAACGTTTCTTATTGCATTACTAGTCCACCACCGTGGCGTGAGCATTCTCTGTCTTTTTAGAATCCTGTCAATGAATCTATTTTTTTTAAGTATAGTTTGTTATCTCTGAATCTTGTTTTGGTTGAAAGTAGCTTTTTTGAGCTTTCTTTCTATCTTTATCTTTATGGTATATACTCTCTTTTCAAAAGGCTAAATGCTGTTTATGTTCATATAAACCTAACTCCTTTTTCATTCAAGATTCTGGTATACTAACCACCTTTTAAACAAAAACTACTTTTGTATTTAATTACATTGTCTTTAGTTTCTTAGGCTGTTTTAATGTTTATTATCCGTTGATTTTTTTTTTTTTGCGATTTCCATTTTAAGGAAATCTGTTAAGCTAAGAGGATCTGTTCTATTCTGTTCATTTTTTTCCCTTCAGATTTATTTTTTTGGTTGTAACAATGTTTGAAATTGGACAAAGTATTTGGTTTTCGATTATTTTCATGCATTATTCATAAGGGTTTGCTTGCATTTGATTATTTCAAAATTGTGCGCTGCAGCGGAAGCTATCCTACTTGGTTTCCAACATTACCTTGTGATGCTTGGAACTACTGTTCTCATTCCTTCTGCTCTCGTTCCTCAAATGGGAGGTGGAAATGTAAGACCAAGGGAAAAATAACATTATACTGATAGCTCTTGTCTTTCTCAACTAACTGTGGTGATCTTGAATCTTACGACTTACGTGGCAACTGTTGTTTTCGTAGAAAGAGAAGGCCGATGTGATCCAGACACTTCTCTTTGTTGCTGGTTTGAACACATTGCTCCAGAGTTTGTTTGGCACTCGTTTGCCTGCTGTTATTGGAGGCTCTTACACCTTTGTCCCAACTACAATTTCAATTATCCTTTCTGGTCGATTTAGTGATGAAGTAGATCCTGTTGAGGTTTTATTTCTTATCTATTTTCTGTTATATAAGGTTATCTTGGTTTGGAATGTCAAGTGACACCTGTCTATTAATGATATAGAAGAGCTAGTGTTAGTTCCCATGAAACCTTTCGTTACACTGTATTTCATTCATTCATGTGAGAAACACTTAGTGGGCAGGGGTATATTATATACATTGACCTGCTCCCTCTCATCACTTTAGCCTTACTGATGTATATCCCCTGAGTAACTTGATGAGGACTTTTGATGCCTATACAGAAGTTTAAGAGGATTATGCGTGCAATACAAGGTGCTCTCATTGTAGCTTCTACTCTTCAGATAGTTCTAGGTTTCAGTGGACTTTGGCGTAATGTCACGAGGTTAGTTCGGAACCTGAACTAATGCTTATATTTTGGCAGTGCTTGCACCCTGTTATCGATTGCATTTGATGACAAGCAGATATAATTATTGGTTAAGATATAGAAGTCACCATCTATGTATTGTGAGTCAACTGAATTTATGAATCAATGAACCCTGGCTTATTACATAGCCCTGTTACATCTTTCTGCCATATTCGATGTTTGCTTGGGTAAACTCTGCATCAAAGTTCTTGTTTTTTTTTTTGCAGGTTTTTGAGTCCACTTTCAGCTGTTCCTTTGGTAGCTCTCGTTGGTTTTGGGCTGTATGAGCTTGGTTTTCCTGGCGTAATCTCCCCTTTTGTTACATTTTCATGCCCATGCTTATTATGTATAAAGATATTGTTACCAGTTGGGTATTAAGTTTTACACTGAAATGTTTAGGTTGCCAAATGCGTGGAGATTGGCTTGCCAGAGCTTGTCATCTTAGTATTTGTTTCACAGGTATTTATGTTGATGTGTTTTGGATGCATTCCTTGTTGCTATTTTGATCGTGCCATGCTCTGTCATCTCTTGCTTTTGTGCATATTGTTACTCTATTAGTAATAGTTGTTGTTAGGATGAGATAATTAATTGTCATTGGTTGTTTTGCAGTACATGCCTCATGCGATAAAGTTAGGAAGACATGTCTTTGATCGTTTTGCTGTCATATTCGCTGTGGTGATTGTATGGATTTATGCTCATCTGCTCACAGTGGGTGGTGCTTATAATGATGCAGCGCCAAGGACACAAGCAATTTGCCGTACTGATCGTGCTGGACTTATAGATGCTGCCCCATGGTTAGTCATTGCATCTTAAAGCATCTGCATGACTTAGCTTTTACTTCTTGGCTTATCCTTTATATAGTGGATATTTTTTGTTTTTTTTTGGTTTACAAGGGAACTACTCAAATTTTAGCAACCCAGGAATTCTACCACATCCTGCACCATTGGACCACACCCAGTGGTGTTACACAGTGGATCTTTACTTGTCATTCTTTCCTCTTTCTAGTTTGAACTTTAAAATGTCAATGCAATAGTCATGCCTTATGATGACCTGGTAATCTCTCATCACAATGGCCTTAGCTATTACTTGTAAATACTTGTTGGTTTGTTAATTGAGGTATTTTACTGCATAAAGAGTAAAACCGGTGAATAAAGATGTTGCAGACTGTTTTTAACCGATTCATTTTATCTAGTGGAAAATAAAAGTGTGAATTGATTGCTCTTTTCACTCATTTTCTCTATTAATGTGCTTGGTTACCATGTCTACTCATGGACAAGCTGATTTTGAAAGATGAGTTAGACGGCCCATCATTGGGGACTGCTTAGATATTCATTTGCATTGGTTGTCATTGTCCTATTGGGAAGTGCTTGCGATGCAATTATGTGATTCTGACTAGAATAAATGTCATTGGATCAGACAACTAATTTGGGTTCTAATTGGTATCTGTGAACTAAGAGTTTGATTAAAGCATGAGTTTGCTTTAATGGAGTATAATATTTTTTTTTAATCATGTCTTAGTATCGTGAGATGACATCAACGATTCCTTGTTGGAATTATGGGTTTTTCAGGATAAGAATTCCCTACCCCTTTCAATGGGGAGCACCTTCATTTGATGCTGGTGAAGCTTTTGCCATGATGATGGCTTCCTTTGTTGCTCTTGTAGAGGTTTGCATTCTTCCATTCGTATTTTTACTTCTCCCTCATGCTTACCATTTGCCATTGCTTTAAACTAAGAATCAAAGTGCATCATGCAACATCATCATAGCTATTGTCAATTTGCTGGTATTATTTTTCTCTTCATAGATATTCTATTTCAACTGTCAAGTCATTTTCCATCCCTATCCCATATGGCCATACTAGTGGTACCATACAATATTAAATCACATGATTGCTGTAATGTGGATGAGCTGACAATTAATGCCATATATGTAAATAAAACTTCTCTGTGAAATGCACAATTTCCACAATTTCAACTTGTTTTTTCAATGTTTTTGTTATTTTCTGGTTTCTCTTTCTAGTTTATCTGGTGGAGTTTAAATATTTATTGTGTGGATTATGTGGGTTACTTGATGCAACTGTTATCTAAATTAATCTTGGAAGTTAACTGAATTACTGTCCTTGAATAAGCAGTCCACTGGTGCATTTATTGCTGTGTCAAGGTATTCAAGTGCAACTCATATGCCACCTTCCGTTCTTAGCCGTGGTATTGGCTGGCAGGTAATAAAAAGATATTGGCTTCTTTGTAATTGAAACTGAAAATTTAAGTTTCTTAGTTCTGAAAGGTTGTTTTTGTGTCTATGATATTGTGTAAATACTTGTCTTAATTTTCATACTTTGCTGTGGCATGCATCAATAATTCCTTTTGCCACGGGCAAGACAAAGCTATTAAGTGATTTGCTTCATGTCCAGGATTTGTTTGAGAAATGTTATTCCTAGCCACTGTTATGTGCAGTCATGCATGTGTGCGCTATTCTAAAGTTTTGTTGTGTAGAGGATGAAAAAAATGGTGGCAAAATGTTAACATGTTAAGTTTTTAAGGGTGAAACCAAGTGTCAGGTAGTGAACTTCTATGTCTGTTTATAGGAGTCTTAAAAAATTATGAGTGTCAGTTGGCCCAATAAGAATCAAATCAAATCAAAATTTAAACTATAATTATTTTAAAGAAATACGTATTGGTTGGTCTCCAATGCAAAGTGCGAGCACCAACTTAGAGAAAGTTAAAATATAAGAGACAACTTCCCCCCATGAAAAGCTTTTACCCCTCCCTTCCCTTACCAAACCCAATTACAGGAAGTGAAGGTCCCTAGGGTAATTTTCTCCTCCTTTACCCTAACATGAAATCCATCCTGAATAAGAGCAAGAAAAGGATGTTAATATATAGAACTTGTAGCTGTATATTCCGGTGGTTGCTATGTATTCCATGTATAAAGAACAATGATGATTCAGATGAATATTGAGTTTCTTACATTGTTAACATTTTATTTCTGCTTTAGGGAATTGCTATTTTGCTTTCTGGGCTGTTTGGAACTGCAAACGGATCTTCAGTATCTGTGTAAGACTCACTAGGAAAGCCTTTCCAGTGCATGAGCTTTTATACATTCAGATGCAGTAACTTCAAAATTGACTCGAGCTTTACTGTGTACAGAGAGAATGCTGGTCTCTTGGCCTTAACACGAGTTGGCAGCCGAAGGGTTGTCCAGATATCTGCAGGATTCATGATTTTCTTCTCCATTCTTGGTAAGTCAATATGAGTTTTTCAATGCTCTCATATTGATGCGCATGATTCATCTTTGTTGTTAGTATAGTGTTAACTTCTATCGCTCAACTTTGCTGTTAGTATAGTGTTAACTTCTAACGCTCAACTTTGCGTTGTTGTGCAGGAAAATTTGGGGCAATCTTTGCTTCAATTCCAGGACCCATTTTTGCAAGTTTATATTGCCTTTTCTTTGCGTACGTGGGTATGTATATCATGATATTTTGGTTCACAAGCAGCTGTGAATCTCTCTGATATATTGTGATTGGTTTTGTTTAATGATTTGTCCATTTCACTATGGATTTCCAGGTGCTGCTGGTCTTAGCTTTCTTCAGTTCTGTAATCTCAACAGCTTCCGAACAAAGTTCATATTAGGCTTTTCTATTTTCATGGGATTATCCGTGCCACAGTACTTTAATGAGTACACTGCAATTAAGGGCTATGGTCCCGTTCACACTGGTGGAAGATGGGTATGCATGAAAATTTCCAACCCTGATCTGTCTTGCTTATATAAATCTATGCCCGTGGCTGATAAAAATCTTGGTTTTTTTTCTTCTTTGGCAGTTCAACGATATTGTAAACGTTCCTTTCTCATCAGAAGCATTTGTTGCGGGCTTCTTGGCTTATTTCCTGGACACCACACTACATAGAAAAGATAGTTCAATCAGGAAAGACAGGGGTAAGCACTGGTGGGACAAATTCCGATCATTCAAGGGTGATACAAGGAGTGAAGAGTTCTATTCCCTGCCCTTTAATCTAAACAAATATTTCCCATCTGTGTAATTTAATCAGCAATAGTTATGATCTGTTCTTAATCCAGTATATTAGTTCTCGATAGCTTCTTGTGGGATAAAAAATGGCAATGCTCAATGCGCCCTCGTGAATGTTATGGCACGCTATATAGCTGTATAAGATAGTCTCTCATTTCATAGAATGACTTGAAAACATTCAATTGAATTTGTTTTCCTTGGAAAAATCCGACCGTTGACGAGGACTTGAAGCAGCAATGAAGCAGTTTTGTTGCCTTAAGTTCCCTTTTTTATTCTGTTCTGTAGTTGCTTTTTGTAGACACTAGCGCACTGATTGCATGTACCTTACTGTAACATTGCCATGGAAATGAGCTGTTTCCTAGATTTCCACATTTCATCAGAGGATTGATTGTTGATTTCATGTGGTGGAGTTAACTGGATCGAATCACAGAGACTAGGACGATCCAGTTAGTGCTATGGCTTTTATTTCTTGCTCTCTGGATTCGTGTCATTCATTTAGGTTGGTGTGCTGGAACTAAACTAAGACAAGAAGAGGGACGAGGAATTACCATGATCAGCTACAAAAGACTTGGCCGCTAGCTGAAAAAATTAAATTTTGTTCTAAAGTAATTTTCACGAGGGTAAAACACAATTTGTTCACGCTCTTAAAATGCATACTATGAAAGAGAGATTACCATGACACTTCTGGCTGTTTCTGTTTTCTATTCCCTCCGGTGTCCAAACGACTGATTATTAGTCATATCATGTGCCATTTGCTTCGTGCCTCTGTTTAGCTGCGGACTCGTTCACATAAAACATCCCTTATCAAATGAGAGAAAGGTGAAGTAGCTAAGACAATTCCATCTTTGACAGAAATTGGAATCTTCCATATTTATTTGATACATAGTATCCAGACCCGGTCCAGTGGCTAGCCCTGTCTAAGGCCCGGGTTCTGGTTATTGACCGGATTATCAGGTTACCCGGATTAATTTTTTTATTTTAAAAAATCAAAACGACATCGTTTTAGTAAAAAAAATTAAAATTAACGTGTTACAATTAAGATTTTGACTGGATCTTTCTGAGTTAACTGGGTCACTGAGTCACATTGAATTTTTTTTCCACTATTTTTTCTTTAACCCGGCCCTGTTCTAACCTCAGGTTGACTAGCTAGGCCGGGTCAAGTTTCAAAGCTATGATTTGATGATGTTGTCAGAGAAGAAAGTAGAGAAAACATATAAAATTATGTTTGATAGTGGTACTTAAAACAAAAATAATTATTTTTATATCATGTTTAGTTATAGTAAACAAGATAAAATAAAATAAGAAAAAAAATCTATTTTATCCATAATATGTATTATTGTCAAACATATATATTTAGAAAATAATTAGATTTTTTTTTAGTTTATATTGAGTGTTGAAATTAATAATATTACAATAACTCTAATTATAAAACTAGAACTAACTTGGCGAGTTGACCTCGAACTAGGCTGGCCTGAGGCTTGAATTGATATAAGTTTTTTTAAAATAAAGAATTGACTGACTCTACTTGATCTCATTAAAAACCTGGGTTGACTTGGGATAAAATATGGGTCAGAAACTCATTGATTTTTCTTGAATGTTTTTTTGTCCAAACAAGGTTGTTTTGATTATTAAATTCTTTTTGACTCAATTGGGTTTATCCTCCCGATTCGTGACTTGAACCTTGTCTCAAGTTAAATCCCGAGTCAGATTTTAAAACTATGATAATATTCACTTTTATCCATATGTTGACTTGGGAATCCAAGTTGACTCTCCTGACTCATGACCTAGGCCTTATCTTCATCCATCAATTTGGATTTTAAAATTATGATAATAATTTTTTTTATCTCTATATTGACTCGAGTCAACCTAGATTGGCTTCCTTGATCCATGAATTGGGCTTTATCTCAGGTCACCTCTCGGTCAGGTTTTGAAACTATAATAATAGGAACTTTTGTCCTTATGTTGATCAAGCCAATTATCAACATCACTCGTGACTCGAGTTTTGCCCCGGATCAACCCTTAAATTGAGTTTTAAAACTATAATAATAATTATTTTAATTTTTACGTTGACTCGAGTCAACCCGACTCGTGACTCAAGCTTTGCCTCTGATTGAACCCCAAGTTGAGTTTTAAAATTATGATAATAACTATCTTTTTCTTACATCTCTTAGTTGAATGATTTTGGTATTTGGAGTTTTTTACAAGGATATTTTAGAAATTAAAAAATATAAAATATTTTCTTTGGATATATATTCTCTTTGTACCTCCTGTTTTGAAAATACTTAAATTCATTCTAAAATTATCCAAATAACAAATTTATTTTTATATCTCTGTTTTTTTCTATTTAACTAAACATATTTTTATCTCTACTATCTCTGTCACATATGTCCCAAGGTAATAACCAAACATTATGCTAGTATGAGATTATTATGTTATTATGGTGGTACTATTATCAATACCGATAATGATATCACTTACAATAGAGAAAGTATGGATGTTTAAGTGCTAGATTAGACATGTTGTTTGTTGAACTTAAATATTTAATATATTGAGGCATTGAGTGAAATTTTTTAAATTAAAGTTGACATTACTTGGAGGATGTAGGTTCGGGTATGTCTAAATCATTATGTTAATGTGTCTATTTCTAGTGATGGAAGTGGTTGGGCTGACCATCAAATGTAGGATGCAAATTTTAAAGCTCTACTTGGATAGTAGATCTAAACGAGAAAATTGTTTTAATATGAAATTCATTTAGGTTTTAAGTTACACTTCAAATGACCACACAAGCATTAAATACAACTATTTCATCTAGAATAGGTGGTAATGTAATGAACCAATCATCAACACAAGGAATTATAGATATAAAAGCTCAATTAAGTATGATAAATCCTCTATATTATTAACTTTGAACCAACTTAGAAGGAAGTTGGCCATCATGTTGATAACATAGTTGAGGAAGACAAGTTAGCTAAGCTAAAATGCCAATTCATGAGATTTATTTGTAAATTTGAGGATGTTAGTGAGTTTGGTCAAATTACATATAATGACTGGATTTTAAGTTGTATAAAAATTCATACTTAATTATTAAATTGGAGGTTAGACAAAACTTTTTGAAACAAGTATGAATTAATTATTACAATTAAGTTGAGGTATATAAAGAATTCATTGTAATATAATGTACAACATTCAACCACAACTTATGTATAATTACAATGTATATATGAACCAATATGTCAATAATATTAAAACAAGGTTATCACAATAATTCTGATTAATTTGAGATCTAAAAATTAAAAGGATATCTCAACACTATAGTTATTTAATGTCATCGTTATATTGACTTAGATTTTATTGTTAATATGATGTTGACTATTATTAAAGTCGAAACAAGTATTAACATTGTGACCATTCAAGCTACTATGTATAGGGATTTTTAATATGATGTCTCATGTCACAATATATGGATAGCTAAATAAAAAGTATTGAAGCTATTATTTGGTTCACATGAGGAGTTCTTTCAAATATTATATAGAATTGTATTAGCTTTTAAAAAATCAAATTCAGGTATGGTTATCAAATGGGATAAAAAAATTAATTGATGGCAATAAAGCAATATTTAAGAGAGTCTTATGAATATTTGAAACTTCAGTTGAGGGGTTTGTATATTATCATGCACTAGTAAGTATTAATGAAACTCACTTATATTGGAAATATAAAGTTGTTGATTGAAGTTGTTTATAACTGAATAATAATTTTTTTTTATTTTGTTCTATTTTAGTTGAACAAAAGATAAATAGTAATTGAACATGGTTCTTAGATTCACTTAGCCAATATGTCACCATAGGGCATTTATTGTCCTCCACTTGATGAATTTGGGATGATTGAGCGTCTAGAAACAATATTAGCAAAGGATAAGCCATTTTGTGAATGAGGAAATGTTCATGGTTTTGTTATCGCAGACTCATCCATAATATAAATTACTAGATGTAGTTAAATGATATATTTGAATATTATGAGAATTGGTTTTATTAATATATAAAAGTAATTGAGTGCGTTTAATTATGAATTGAGTTAACATGGAATTGAATTAAATGTGATTTATGTTGAACTGATTATGTGAATTATGAATTGTGTTGAATATATCTTTTGGAGTTTGTTATTTTTGTTTTGTTGACTGGGAGTAGAAATGCTGGAAAAACACTCCTGTCACGCATTTACACGTGTAAATGAATTATGTTATTTCCATGAATAAGTTTTTGGTTGTGAAATTTAAACTAAATGTTTTATATAAAAACCTCAGATTATTATATAAAAACACTCCTTTGTTGTGGATACTGCATATATTATTATTATTATTATTATTATATGTTCCTAAATGTTTTATATAAAAACCTCAGATTACGAGGGGCAACAAGTTTGTTGTTGTGGATACTGCATATATTATTATTATTATTATTATTATATGTTCCAAGATGCTGCAAAAAGTAGGGTGAGAAAAGGTTAAGGTTAGTTGCATTAAAGCTGGTGTTAATTCTTGAAAAAGCAGATGCTTTTCTTGGTAATAATGGCCACAAGAAGTAGATGATGATTACAGGATCTTACCGTCACTTTACAGTTAAACAACACACTCAGGGAATTCTTGGAAAAACAAATCTCTATCACATTCACCCTGGCTACACCTCTAACTTTTGGATTAATTTTAGATCTGTGATCAGCCCCACTTGATATATGGATCTTCTTTGCAAACAACCATGTTTAACAAGATCTTAGCAAGAAGATTATTGTCGTCCATGGCATGCATGTATAATACTACATAATTGTAGCTGCAAGTTGGACGGGGAAAGAGCATTCTCTTATTTTTAATTTTCTTCGTTTACCAAACACAGAAATACAAATGGCAACTAGCCTTACTTCTTGGTTTTGTGTCATGATATCGTAGATGAGTGCTTGAAACTTGAAAGAAACAAAAACCATCCACTAACATGAACCCTAAAAACACTCTGTGTGTTGTTTGGTAGGGTGGGAGCCAAGCGAGGCCTAATTTGAATGTATCATAAATGCCAAGGCATTGACAGTAGGGACCTCCAGTAACAGATGCCCCTTGTTTCTTTACTATTTCAATTCTTGAACAGCAGGAGTTCGATGCTTACACACAGAATCAAAACATAAAAAAATGGTGGAAAAAGCAGGCGTTTTCCATATTATATACGAGGCTCGACAGATTCGTTAAACCAGAAGTCTTGGATATTTGATTCTCTAATATTTAAT